AAAGTTTGTCATTTACCTGCAGAGTTGGAACATAAAGCATTTTGGACTATTAAAATGTTTAATTTTGGTTTTGACAAAGCTAGCGCTTTACGAAAATTACAGCTAAATGAACTTAAGGAAATTCGAAATAAAACTTATGAGAATTTTAGGATTAGCAAAGAGCGAATGAAGGTGTTCCATAATAAAAATATTTTGCGTAAAACTTTTACACCTTCACAAAAGGTTCTTTTGTATAATTCTAGATTACATATCTTCAAAGGAAAACTTTGAACTACATGGAGTGATCCGTATATTGTTAAAGAAGTTTTTCTTTATGGAACAGTAGAGATAGAAAATTCCAAAAATGAGAATATTTTTAAAGTTAATGGACAAATATTAATACCATTCTTGGAGGAGGTATAGTAGAAGTGGAATCCATCAAGTTGGTAGATCCCTACTATGAATAATTCATCTCTAACATTCAAACTAATTTTTGTACATTGTTGTATATTGCATTTTTTTTATGAGATATTGCAGATACATGTGCACAGGATATCACATCTGGTATGTCCTTCTTTACTTTTAACTGTGCTGATACAGTTTATTAATACATTGGAGACAATGTAAAATTTTGATTTTGGGTGGGGGGGTGGGGGTTGAGCATGTTGCTTTATTAAATATACATTGTGCACATGCATCTACAATATTTTTTTTAAAAAAAAATTTGAGGTTAAGTAGGAAAGTAGTTAAAGATTGAAAATTTTTCTAAGTATGGAGAAGGGAGTCCACTGGAACTCACGTCTAGATGCGCATGTCATGAAGGAAAATCTCTGAAACATGCGTCCGGACGTGAACTTAAGGAGTAATGTTCACTGGAACACCCGTCCGGACGTGGTTGAACATGCGTCAAGACGCAAACACCAAACGTTTCAAATTCAAAAGACGCGTCCGGACGTGACTTGATCACGCGTTCGGACGCGTGTTCTTTAAGGCTGTTTAATGAGGTCGTTGGGAGGCGCATCCGAACAATTGATATTTTGCGTCCGGACGTGTGTGAAAAATTATAAATACTAGTGTACTGAACACTTTTTTTTTTCACATTATCTCCTCAATTAGCTTAGTTTAGATATCTTTTCCCACCTACTTCAAAAAAAAATTTCATTGCTTCTTCTTCATGGCACCTCCACAAGCTTCAACTTCTAAGAGGGCTCGTACCGATGCCCAGGACACTCAAGATGAATACCTCACTTTTAACCCCCTCTGCTTTGAGACTTTGGAAGCACGGGTCAGATTTTTTCAGTATTACCCAAACAAGCCTTTTGTTTTGTGAAAGACTGATAAAGTATAAGGACTTTGCTCGGTTGGGATATTATTTGCTCGAGGAGGTGTTCTGGTTTCATGGGACGAAAGTGGCCTTGCATACCTGTTTAGGCACACGAGTTCTACAGTAATGTGGATGGCTGTGCCAATGACATTTTTCGTACCTATGTTCGGGGTAAGCACATTAGAGTTGACGCCACCGTTATTGTTAGGCTAACGGGGATGCTTCAAGCTAGAGTGCCCAACCCGGATTATCCCCAGGCCTATTTGGGTGATGTAGTAGGGAGAGAGCTGTTGGGGGATGAGGAGTTTGTGTGGACAAATGAGTTTAGATTTCTTCAGCAGGGTGACCTGACAAATAAGTACAAGATACTAAATTTAATTTCAATATCAAATATTTTGCCCCTGCTGAGGAACAACCATATTCACCTAGACTGAGCTTGACTCCTTTATGTTTTGGGTGCAAGACATTTTATCGATCTCTCCTCTTTGATTTTTGCTAAGATGAGACAAACGATTATGTACCTGAAGAAGGGGTTTCTACCTTTTGCTGGGTTAGCTACGGCCTTGTGTGAGCAAGCTGGAGTGGTGGTAGATGCCACTATGGATCGAGCTAAGAAAATGGTGGTTCTTAACTCTGGCTATCTTTTGAAGGGTCAGAATGTGACTAGGCCAGGAGGAGAGAGACGTTAGGCCGCTGAGTAGCAGGGAAAGGCTACACTTGAGGGGACAGCGCCTGTGGAGGAGCAGTGAGATCAGTTCCTCAACTTGGACAAGGATTTTGATTTATCAATTGATGAGGGCACTGATCCCAGGACTGATAAGCAGCTGCTGTTAGAGATTTTGAGAGAACAAAGGGAGATAAGGAAAGAGATGAGAGAAATGAGGATTCAGATGAAGAGGTCGGGGTAGAGTTCTCAGAGTCGTGCATGCCCCTCACCAGTGGTTTGTTGGTTTTTTGTTTGTTAAAAAGAATTTCTTTTTGTTGAAATCAAAGCCTATTATATCTTCTAGATTTTTGTCTAGACTTGATTTCTTTATGTTTTGAAATATGCAATGTATGAAACGTTAATATAATAAAAAAAAAAATGCACAGTCTATTTCAGTAAGTAATTGAATATCTAAATAACATTTTTATGCATAATTTGACACCACATTATGAAAACAATTCGCTTAGCTATAAATTTGTTGCTGTTTAAGCATTACATAGAACTTTATTCTATATTTTTTGTATCTCATATCATGTTCTTAAAAAAAAATTATAATTTTTGCACTTTAGACTTTACCAAATTGAAAATTTGTTAGGTGTTTTACCTTGAAAAATTGAAACATATAGTGGAGATGCATAAAAATCCTGGTGATTTATGATCTAATCTTCCTTGGAGGGTTATTTACATTTACTCAAGAATATTTTTATTCAGCTAGTCTCCTTCAATAGTCTCATTATTTTTGTTTTGATCAACACCAATATTGTGAATGATTGCTTGATTTTGAATTATTTGCATGAGATAATGTGTTATCAAGATCTCTTGAGATATGCTTTCAGGCCATTTTTGATATTATTTGAACTTAAGTCTTATTCTTTGAATATTATTATCCCTAAAAATCGTGATTGAGCCTTTGAAGCAAAATTTTATTTCTTATACCTAATATATAATAACCAAGACAATGAAAAAAAAAAAAAAATCTTTTATCCTTGGTTATCCCGAGATTGAGCTTTTTATTGTTTATGTAATTTGGGGAATGTTGGTTAAAAAAAAAAATTTTTGCATATTTGTGAATATCTACATTAGATGTCTTGCTTAAAAAAAAAAAGATGATATGTCTACTTGTGAAAGAGCAAATTGAAAGAAAAAGAGAGAAAAATAGCAAGTGTGTATTTGAAAGACAAATATGAGCAAATGTTGTAAATCGTGCTTCTAAGTAGTGAAGAGTGAAAGACTATGGAAAGAAGTTTGGTTGTGGTACATGTTCTCTTGTGATAGCCTTTTGAATTCTTGAATATCCTTCATTTCAAAACTCTAATCCCAATGCCCCATTACAACCTTAAACAAAAACCTATCTGATCTCAAGAGTATATTGGTGGATACATGACTTGTGTGAATAAAGAAAAGAATGGTGATTATTTATTTATTGTGTGTTGATTTTCTTTCATGAGACTATGTCAAATCTTTTTCTTTTAAATTACAATTATTTTAATAGACATGTAAGTATTATTTTATTTTTATTTAAATATCTTCTTCTCACATGTGATATTTGAGAAAATAGTCACTATAATCTGAGAGAATTTTTTATAAGTGAATTATCTAGTGAGATTTGACATTGAGATGAATAGTTGATGTAGAGGTAATTATTGGATAAATTATTGACTTAGTATAGTTAATTCACACTACACACAATTTTATACGGGAACATGATAAATGCATACATTTATATGGCATAGAGTTTTATATTTTGCTTTGCATGTGCTTATAAAAAGCTTACAGTTTATAATTTTTATATTGTAATAGTAATTTGTGTTATAAAATTATTATTCAAATATTTGATCACAAGGTGATGTTTGTGAATATTATCTCTTAAAAATCTCACGAGACTATATTCGTCTACTAGGGGGAACATGAGTTTAAAGACTTGTTGAATATGTTAAATGCAGTCGTGAGTCCTACGAAAGTGGAGTTGTTTTTGTTTTGTTTTTGTTTACCTTACTAGGGACTAGCAAGGTCTGGGTTAGGGGTGTGATTATGGTCTCATAATGTGATTGTTTGACGAAAAAGACTAGTTATTTATTGGTTTAATGATATGTGAAATTTTGTTAATTTAACTTTTGATTCTTAGTAAAGTTTTTGCTCTATAAAGATTCTTGAGTCATTGTGTCTTATACTTTGATTTCTTGAATATTCTCTGCGAGACAAATAACTAGTTATTCATTACTTAAGTTAATTACAATTTATTTCGCATAATAATATAGCTAGGGGATTATACAGTTAAATCAAGAATTCGATTGTTAAGAGAGTTTGATTTATTGTAGACTTCAGACACAATAAATACTTACAACCAGCAAACAGTTCTTTGATTTTTCTGGATAAATTTTTAGTTATAAACAAATGTATTTTCTCGTTATTATTGATAAATTTGGTGACTGGAGTCAGTTAAGACTTGATTCTTGTCTAGGTTTGAAAACTAAGTCTTTAATCATTACTGTATAGATTTGAGATGGTGTACCTGATGCTCTAGTATTTTGTACATTGATTTAATCAATTTATTCAATTATCCAAATTCAAACATTCTTCTTGAAAATTATTTTACAAATTTGTTAACAATTTAGTGTGGTGTATATTTGTTTTCACAATTTCCTAAGGGTTCGACTTGCGTCTCCTACTTTGCACAACCTACTTGGGTTTACATATTTGAAGTTTAGCAGAAACCATGTAATTGAAGCTGAATACCAAGTGGTTGATATATTGATTACACACTATTCATGAAAGCCAAAAAAACATGACCGTCCTGTGGTGTGGAGGTTTAAAGTGGACTTTAGTACAAGATATTTGAACATAACATAAACTTAAAACACTTTTATGATCTCTGCTTGAAAACAAATGGACAAATAGTTGACTATGTAAGATACTGCAGTGTGTATCTGATTATCCTCTGCTGAAAACATTCCACTGACCACTGATATTATTGCAAAGCCATCTGAAGACCTAGGACTGGTAACAGAGATTTTCAAAACCCATATACTCTTGATTCTCCAGCTTCTCAACCATCTGTGCTATCCCAACCCCACCTGCAATTTGCAATGAAAACATGAACACCTAAGTTGCATGCTGAGAATGGGGGGTTAGAGAACTATCATATAGTAACTAAAGCAAGAAACCGGTATACCTAGACTGATTGCGCTCACAAAGATTGTCAAAGCCAGTATGAAGATAATTATGGATGCCCTGCCAAGTAATGTTATAATCCTCCTTACTACGTGCTGACCAGCAAAGGCAGCAATGGTAGCAACTAAGACAAAATAAGCAGCTGTAGAAGACGATGAAATTAAAATTACAAGGTTAACTTCAATTGCTATTAGAATTTCTTTCTGTATCAAATTGGGAATAAAAAGTAAAACAATTGTGGGTTTCTGCTTGTCTAAGCAGAAGCTTCTTGTAGAAGTAAGAATAGATGTTTCACATTATTATCCACTACTAGTACTAGCTCACTACGCACCATATGGAACCGGGAAACGCTTCAGAAGGTAATATTGTACAACTGACATGGAGGATGAGAAAACCATTGAAAAGGTTGATGTTGCGCTTGCCACCTGCCAAAAGAGTACTACTTTGTTAACTATCCAGTTCTGTCAAATATGCCACATATAATTGTCTAATTACTTGAGTTGCCCAATTCAGTGTGCAATGCTGATTGTTGGGATATCCAACAGCGGCTCTGATAAATACAACATTTGGTTGTATTTTATTTAGGTTGGATACCTTAATCAGTCCAGTAATCTGACACAAATCCAGTGGCACAGTAATTGATGAGGTAGCCTGTCCAGAGTGTCAAATTTCAGTTGTATATCTTAATTAGGAAATAGAGGTTTTTGTCCTAAACCCGACTTAGTTTCATCCTCAACTGGTGATCTATGAGTGTAACAATCTATATCACTATACTTCAAAAATGCTGGGGAATTGCGTTTTAACACTTTGAGAATTTCCTTGCTACCAAAACTCTAAGGAACATAGTACTAATGAAACTAACACCGTTTAGTTTTTCAATAAGAGTATTTTATCACTTTGTTGAAGTCTTCCTTTACAGTTTCTTTCTTTGGCTTCCCTTTGCCATGAACACTCTAGAGAACAAGTGAATAGTAAACTGTACCTGAGGAGGAATTCCCAATTCCAGGAAAAGGGGTCCCAGAATGAAACCACCTCCTAGTCCAAGTAATCCTCCCACCATGCCAGCTAGTATTCCACAGCAGCAATAGAGAAAAAGCATATGGGGCTTCCAGTTTGTGATTTCCTTTCCCTTGGATGCGATCACCCTAGTGCCTTTGCATAAGGACACAGCTTCAAATATAGTAACAGAGGCTGCAATGGGTACCTAAAAAATACGAAGCAATTATGGCGACCAGATATGATTCTTTAGATGGAGTATGGTACTTTAAACTAATCCAAAACTTGCTTGCAGAAAAATGATTGTAGGATGATGGCACGTAAATGCCATGGTGCCTAGTGCATTTCTAAGGCTGGGAGTGGGTGCCTAGCCTAAGTACTTCAAAGTATTTACTTTGTGATAGCTCGTTAAAAAGATAACAACTACAGTAATAATTAAGTAAAATTAAATTAGTTTAGTCATAATTAAATATAAATGGCAAACTTTTTTCATAGCAATAAGTCTTGACCTAAGTCGGGTTAGGGGTACCAGACACCCTGTCATAACCCCAAATGGGGACAAATGAAAAATAAAAGCCAATTATTCAATGCTACCACAAAAAGGTTTAGAGATAGACGCAACAAAAAACAAAGCTTCTCAACCATCTTTGAGATTAAGATTTCTATCTCTTTTCACACAAATCTTTTGGATTTTTTATGTTCTCTGATTGTTATGCAAATGTTTCCTTCGACACAAACATATGTATATATATTAGAAATTGAATCATTTTAAGGCTTCTATAGCGACTCTACAATGGATCTTCCCCACATCTATTTGTTGCCCCAGCTCTGGAGAGATGCAGAACACTACTCTCTCTAGTCTCTTCCTTTGTGTATGTGTGTGCACGCTATGAACCGCTTGATGTCCATAAAAGAGTTAAAAAATGTGATTGTTTCAGGTTGGAGATTTTACCTGCAAGGAGTTCAGAACCCAGTACTTGATAGAGCAGGTTACAGTATAAGTCTGCAAAGAGAATTGTCCAAGTATTATGTCAAGGAAGAAACTGCAAGCAACTGTATGATAAGAACTAAACTTTGTCAAATTGGATTGAAAGACAAGAACTTGCTTGGTTGCTTCAATACTATGGAACGAATATGTCAAGAAGACCATGCTATTGTGTTTTCAGATCACCAAATCTTGGATCAACCAGTGTACAAAAAATGAAAAAACTCGAGAAAGTTGGCTTGTGTAAAAGATAGGCCAAGAGAAATAATTGAAGGCCCCAGATTACTTGTATAATCAACACTCAATTTCGTTTTTGCGAGTCTACACTGTAAAGAAGCTTACCTTCAAGATCTGAACAGCAAGGAAAGCAACCCACACAAACAAGAGCAGTGCCAACTCTTTCCCTCGAATGTTGTACAGCAGGGAAACCTGAATGAAGATTATGACAAAAGAAGAAGAGAGATTACAAATTCTAATGAAGAATCTCTTGAGAGGGTTACTGCGAAAATAACAAGACATTCACGGGCTAACCTCTTCATCTGCTGAAGCAGCTGGACCACTGGGCAGTCGTTTGTATTGCTCTCCAGAACCATCTGCAGTTTTGCAGGTTAGAGTTTTCAGAATTGTCGAATTTTTAGAAATAGATTTGTGAATTTCCTGTCATGCTGTAGTATCTACTAACCTTTCAATTAATTATGCGATTTGAACATTTTTGCACATTCTCTGGAAAACTCTATGGTTTTCATAAATTTCAAGTGGGTTTAATTTTCTCAGTATTTTGAAGTTTTTATTCACGAAAACTATGCGACCTTGTCAACCGATAGTGAAAGAACAAAATTCGGGTACATGCCAATACTTATTATGGGTAGAAAGATACAAGGAAGTTTTGTTTGGAGGGAACTATGAGGTACCTACCATCTGGTTTGGGCTCTGATTCCAACTGCTTTGATGCTTCCTGAAGGAGAACAATAATTTCAAGCTCTTTACTATTAAGTTTTTATGAGGGGAATAATTAAATACCTTGAAATCCCAAAAAAAATGTTTAAATTAAGACGCTACCTTCTTCATCAGCGTCTCTTTCTTCCATGTCTCTATGCCTTTGAATAATGCTTTAGTTGATGTACCTAGTAAAACCGTAGTTAAACCGCGTCAGCTTCCTTAATTTCCACAGAATTTGGAAATTTAGATTCATTGAAATTGTTGTAACAATTATAATATCTTACCTATGAATAGGATGATGAGGAGAACAGTGACCATCCAATCGGCGAAGATCACATTGAAAGCAACTCCAATGCTTATACCAAGCATGAGCATGGGCTGAAAGAGCAAAGCGAGGTCATAGTCTATCAATGGCATGTCTAAAGTCGGGTGTCTGAGTCTCAGATTGTAATAAACTGTTGATCCTGCAGCCCCCATGATCATACCTGTGATCCAGAAATTATACTGACTGTTAGCATAATTAGAACAACCCAGTGTATGAGGTTCCCTCTTCAGCCGGAGTCTCTGAAGAGTCAAATGTAAGTAACTGTACTCTGCGTTCGGGAATATTGGATTCGATACATTTTGATCAACGTGCATGCCGTTTCTATTCTATTTTCCGTCAAAATAACATTTATCATATTTGCATGCACGAATATTTTTGAATTTCTTTTTAAAAATCGCGGTTACAAATTACGAAATACTCTAATAGTGTGAGTGAATCAGTTACAGACATTTAGAAATGGCAGTAGAAGACTTGGGGTCGAAGCCAATGATCAAAGTGAGCATTGGAACAAATATTCCACCGCCTCCGACTCCTCCAACGCTTCCCAATGCTGCACCAAAGAATCCAATCACTGTTCCCACCACCACTTTCCACCCAAATTCCATATCCTGCTCAAACGAAAAATTTCATCACATGTAAAAATAAGTAAAGCCCACAAGAAAGAGAGAGAGAGAGAGAGAGATGAATCGCATATATTCAGCTAGCGGTAGAGAAGAAGTATCATATATTTTAACATGACCCTTCATGTGCGAGTTAAAATGTGCAAATATTAATTATAATGGTGAATGTAGAGGGGAGACCCGATGATACTATGTTTGACCGTTATATATCATCTAAAAGATTTAAGATGTTCAGAGTAGTTTAACAAAAATTATAATTACCGGCCAAACATGTTCATAAGAAGATTTTCCACTCTGCCAGAAGAAATGAAGGAGGCGTAGAGCAAACCCTAGTCTCATTTCTTTCTCAACAATGTAACCTGGTTCTGTGGCTTTCAAAAATCTCTCTGCGCTACCAAAACCACTCAATGTGAAAAGGCCCCAACACACTACCCATGCAACTGTTGCTGCGACAGCCTTAGCTTTCTGGTTTACGTCAGCTCGAGCCATGCAATTGATAAAGATAATCAAATCTAACACCAAAGGAGGAAAGAGTTATGGCTTCAAATTGGATCTCTTACTAGATTAGTGCAGGTGGAGTATAAGGAAGGATATATAAGTGAGTAGTGCACTCTTTAAAAATCTCTCTCTCCTCTTATCCACTTCAATGATGAAATGACATCCTTACTTTGCTTTGCTTGTATATATGAACAGAATTGGTAAGTTGTACGCTAAAGTTGAGAAAGCCACCCCGATCCAGGAACTTGTATGGGTTAAAAATGGTGGGGCTTGGATGATTAAAACTGGACCGAAAGAGTTATGTATTCTACGAAGTGTCTTCTCGGATTTGTAGAGTGTAAATAGTGTTGTGTCAAAATTTGTACAATTTATAGTCAATTCGTATATATCGTAATAATCAAGCACTTATTTGTGTCGTAAAAGTTTGTGTAGTGTTTAGTTGGACTTGTATCGATCTATTTATTAAAAGGGTCAATCAAGTCCACCCGTTTATTACATGAACTCGATAAATTTAAATTCAAATACGTTAATTTTATGTGATATATGTGTCTTTTTGAATCGGTTTAAATTTGGCATATGTTTACTTTAGTAAAATTGAAAGATTCTAATGCCATCCTTAGATTCATCATTTGATTATGAAGTGATTTGTCTGGTACCTCATATCTACATTGCCTTGGGAAACTTCCCGGAAGCTGTTTTTGGGTCAGCTCACGTTATGGTACCTACACTCTTAGGTTCTGCCATTGACATCTTTTGCTACCAATTTACCAAATGGAGCTTGCCTAGCTCCAGTCAGTCTTGATGTAGGCGAAGGTAGAAACAAGAATAGCCCTAATGCCTCCTAGTGTACAAAAATTACATAGTCGAAATGCAAAACTAATTCTATGGTAGAAAAAAAAAATTCTTATCTTGTAGTAGAGGTAAATTTGATCTTCACATGCTGCTAGGCGACTCTTTTCGCCATTTTCTCTAAGACTAGACGAGAAATATTACTGTGCATAAAAAGCTCACCAATATATATTGTTGTGCATTAACAAAAAATTCACTCAATAACTATAGTCGTAAATTTCTAAAAAAATAATCATCCCACTGGTTATTTGTTGGGTAAGCCTTTGGAATCTGTTGATTTATGTTTGAAATCATTTTCCTTGTAGATTTAATCCTATGTCTTGTAATTTATTACAGTATTGAATCTTGGGATAGCAACAGAAAATGAAACCTTGTAATATCACCCACCCGCAAGCCAAAACTAAAACAAACAGGAAATTGTGGGATTACCAGGAAATTTCTCGGCTACAGAAAGCCATCATACAAGGTTTGTCATTGTCGTTGGTATTAGAGGTTTGAATTTTGTTGTTGCAAAGCTAATAAATGAAGCTTCTTGGCTGCTTCGATTGCTCTTGGCACTATGTTATCACATGTAGTAATGCAGTTCCAAGCAAAATCATCAAGCATTCCCTTCACGCGCGAGTAAAGTACGAGAATAGAGAGGTTGCAAAGGGATCCGAAGGTAATTGGGTGTATGTGTTTGAGTGAGTCGTAGCTTAGCAAGTGCAGAGCTGAGTAGCTCTTTTCTATTGTGAAGAAATAATAACTTATGAAAGTAGAATAATCCATAGAATTCAGTGGTTCACCGGGTCGAAGAGTTTGACTAATTCACTCTAGCAAAGTCTCTTGTTCACTGATTTCTATTGCTTGAAAAAAAAGATTGATACAATGAGATTTAATAATTTCTACGTAAGGTATTCCCTTCTATTTATATAGAGACAAACTTTTATCTTCATCCGAGATTGTGTTGATCCCTCAATGAGTTAGAGCCATGAGAAAAATATTTTGTCGATCTCTAACACTTGTATCCTTCTAGAAATGATGAGACGTCGTCTTGAGAGCAGACTAGCTTGTTGGACCGAACTCTTCTTTGAGTGCACAAATCTAAACTTCCGTGATCATTAATCGGGTTGATTAGGTTCTTTTTATTAAATTCGGAAGTTATTTGACGAGAAGTTCAACTTAATGGAGCTTTATAATTGAGCTGCACTAGATCATGTCGAGTTTCGATTACATAACTAAGGGACTCAGTTGATTTGAGTTTCTTTGATTGATGTCATGTTATTTGGGCTCAAAATTTGATCCCAAATTTTAGTCAGTCTAGCATTACTCAATTATTAAAAATGAGAATGGAAAAGAGAGTCAAATTCTAATATATGTTATCATCAATTTTTATCCAAGGTTTTCATCGGAAGAAAAAAAATAATTTTCTTGTAAATCTATATAATAAAACAAATAGAAAATTAAATTTTATCCCCTATACATTTTCGTCCTTAAAATCATCATATCAATTATTTTTATCACATATTCAATCATTTAATATTTAATTAATTTATAATTTAATATAATTTTTATTTTAAACATTATTCATACGATAATATATATATTTTTAAAAAAATGTCAATATTTTTAAGAAAATGATGGCTAAAAATAAATTTTTTTAAAAAATATTATTTAATATAATAAAATTAAATTTTAAAATATTCAAATTTTTTATTTTATTATACCTTCAAAAACAATAACTAACAAATACATCTGATTTGATTGAAATCACATGTTTTACTGTTGGGGATTCACATATTTCACGTTTTACTTTTCAAACTCCAAGAATTAGATTTGAATGTGGCCAATAATGGAATGATGCCAACTGTGTGGTTAAGAAAGGAAGAAGGGATGGGGCAATTTTTCAGCGGGGAGGGGGGCCCACAGGTACTGATGAATTTGACTTCTGTATCCCGAAAAAGAAAAACAAAGACTTGAGATTTATCCTTTCTTGGGATTCGTTGCGGATCAAATTTAGATTAAATTTTTGGATTAATTATAATTTGTTCCTCTCTAATTATGTCTCTTGTTTCAATGATTTTATATACTTTAATTTATCTCTTTTAAATTTTAACTGAATTAAATTGACTGAAAATAATGATTAAAACATAAAAATATCATTCTCACTTTTTATTTGTATAAAAAAATTTATCGTATTTATAAATATTTTTATTGTATTTGTGAATATTTTTATTATTAACAAATAATTATTTTTTTTATTTTTTAAAATATTAAAACAGAACTCACAAATATATTAAAAATAATTACAAAGGAAGGTACCAAGCCCCATAATCAACGCCGATAATGATCCCCTGAAAAAGGATGGAATATTAAATTTGTTGGGCTGTCTTTCGATTATGTAGAATAGGGTCAATAAGACAATGATTGCAAAACTACACACTTAAAGCAACTCCAAGGGGTTGCATTAAGGGTGACAAACCATGTATGTTACCCCCAAATTTAAAAGACGAGATTGATTAAATTTTGGAATTAAATTAAAGTGAAAATGACATGAAAGATGATTATTTAAAATTTTTATTGGGGTTCCAATGATATGGCACCAATCAAAAAAGTCCAAGTTAACTGTCATATCATTTGAGATTCAAATTTGGTCCTAAAATTTTGTCACTCTAATATTACTGAATTTTAAAATTTTTACTTTAAAGAGGATGATATTAAAGGTTAAAAAATAACATCAAGACTTTTGGGGTTGTATTTTTGACAATTCTTGAGAGAAAAATAGAGATGTTACAAATAGGTTAATGAATATAGATACGATAGATGAATATAAATCTAACAATTTATATATATTGATGAATAAAAATATGAAAATGACACTCCATTTTAACATCTGTCATTGGAACAGTTTTATAATTCAAAAATATCAAAATACTGTTTAAGGTAACAAATGAATGATTTGATAACACAAAATGGTAACTCTCTTTGAAGTTATTGTTTATAGTGTGTTTGGTTTCATTGCCCCTGGCAGAGTTGACAATGGTTTAAGTCTAGTTGGTGTCAATTTTTATTTTTATTTTTCAGAACAATAGGTTCATGTCATGTTAATATTTACGTAATTCATACTCACCTCTGACATCTATTGTCATACCTTTTGGTTTCAGGAAGACAAAATCCAACGCCCTGGAGATAATTTATAAGCTTGTGTCATATTTACATTTTCTCTGTAAAATTATCATCCTGTCTTGTATTTAAGTGGCAGATTGGGTTCAAAATTCATCGACATGTTTTTGTGAAACCATCTCCATCCCTCCGGTCCTCGGCAGTAGAGCTTGCGTTAGGTAACAAGGCGCTCCGGATATACCACAACAATGAAACAGACGATTTCTAAAAAGTCTAGCATACTACCAACCGGGCAACAGCAATGACATATGATGAATTTCCATATTAGAACTGGTTCAATAAAAGTTTAATAGATAATGGTAGAAAATTATGGAGTATTGTTTAAAAGTATAAAAACTAATTTACTTTTAATGAAATAAATAACTATATTACAAAATGGATAGTAACAATAAGACGATAACAATAACAGCGAGACACTAGAAGTAACAATAACAATAAAAATAGCAGTCATTGTCATAGTAACATGATCACATTAACAGTAATGTCTATGTGGGTGAAGTGTAATGAACGATGGTGAGGAATGGAGGTACTATAGAAGGTGGCTGTGCTGGAGTATAAAGGGGTGGTGGACTAGACAGTAACACGATCACAGTAATAACTATAGTCACAATTAAAATTCTACGGAACTAAATAGTAACGTGAAGTAGACATCGACACGATCACAATAATAGGCTTAACGACCATAATCATTATCAAAATTCTATAAATCAAACAGTAACGTGAATTAAACTGCAACACGATTACAGTAACAACCACAAATCCTATTCAAATTCTACGAAATTATATAGTAACATGAACTAAACAACTACACGATTAGAGGATATGATCACAACAACAGCTGCAATCACTAATAGAATGGTTCATAAGTTTAACCAGAAAAACAAATTCACATAATTTTTTCATTCATATCTAAACAAATCTAAGATCGATATATCAAAACAACAAAGTAAAAGTAGAGATCTTTGCACAAAAAATAATAAAACTCTTAGCTTATGCATTTCATCAAACACCATTTGAGCATAACAAGTAAACCGAAGAATGTCACCAAAACAAAAATAAACTAAAACAGAGACTTTAAATTGTTATAACGGAAAACTCATGTCGGTTTGTGGGGGGTGACAGAAGGTAAAGAAATCGAGTAAACAAATCCTAAAAAACCAAGAAAAGTTATTGTTTTTCTCTGGTGGTGTTTGGTCTTTGTTTTTTAGATCTTGATTCCAATGTGGCAAGAACGGCAAAGCAACAGACCATGGTGGCAGTCGGAGAAGCTAACGGATCTAGAGGATCGAAAGAGATTAGGTTCCGAAAAGTAAAAAATAGTTTCTCGTCAATTGCGGAAGAAACGTTGACATCCCATTGTATTGGAGGATATAATAGACATTTTTAAAAATATAAAACGGACGGTTGGACCTAGTTACCAAAAATTACACATCGTGTATCCTTATTTAGCCAATAAGTTCGAGCCTGTAATTAATATCAAAAGAGTTTCCCATTCTATACACGATTCTAATTCTACTTTTTAATTTGGTTTAGTTTTCAGATTGGGCTGGGCCTAGCATAAGTAACTCCCACGGTGGTGGGGAAGAAGTGGCGCGAAACTTCCAATATCAATAATCTTATCTGCTCTATTCTTTTTTTTTTTTCCTTGATCATTTCTGGTTTTTAGTTATTTCTAAATTTTACTTTATCATTCATATTTATTAAAGGACGACTGGACTAGCCACAACAATGGCTTGCTTGAAATTGACTTTTTTAAATAAAAAACTGTGTTTTGAAAAGTCTTCTAAAAAAATCAAAGTTGAAAAAATTCTACAAAATTGCTTAGAGGTGTTCTTTAAAAAATTGAAAAAGTCCGTTTGAAGTGACTTTCTAACTTTTTTGGGTCAAAATTAAAAAAATAATTAAATATATGTATAAATTATACATAATAGTTCCAATATCTACTGTCAGTTGTGAGAGGTGAATAATAGGTTGGGGGTTCCAAATTATATTGAGAAATTTCTAATGTACCTCTGATAGAAGAGTTTTAGAGGTTGATGTATAGTGAGAGCACCGTTTTTAAGGTTCTAGTTCAAATTTCTACCGAAATTCATCAATCTATTTTTTTAATTGATTATTCACTGTACTACAGGCCCACTACACTATCACCATTCACCACAATTTCAGAGCCTTTATAATCTCTCCCTCAAGAATGGGCGCCATCAAAAGCATCTTCATAGCCCCAGCTCCTAGATGACGGAACCCTCTACAAAAACCCAACGAAAACTCTGGAACACCACTGAGAGCCGAAATGGTGTCTCTGAAGCTCCACATAGCCATTTTTCTCTACTTGAATGAAAAAACTCTGGAGCTAAAAAAAAAAAACCCCTTTTGCCTTCAAGAGCTTCGAATCTCTGCTGGTTATGACCACTTGAAAGCCATTTCGTTTTTTTTGTTTTACGAGATTCACTACAAAAAGCCATTTTCTTGGGACAATTTGATTGAGGTTGGGGCCGGCTGGGTTGGGTCGATGCTATTGGGGGGGGGCCTGTTGGGGTTCCAGTAACTCTTATGTTGATTTTGAAGTTGAAACAGGAAATGTGATTGCCCAGTTGAGTATTCAGAAGATCACCGACTCTTGAGATTCTACAAGTTGAGGACTTGAAAGCAACTGAGAGGAGTTAGGAGGCTTTGAGTCTACTGGTGTTCTATCTCTTTCTTTGTTTTCATCAAGCTTTTTTTTTTTTTTCTGTTCTGAAGACGGCATAATATCAATGTTCATGAAGAGTTTCAAGAGAAGTCAATTCAAACTTAAAGGATCAATTTAAGAATGTAAATCGTCAGATCTCTCGGTAATCATCGATCCATCCTACTCCTGTCAACGAGAAATATTAATAGCAACTGTAAGATCATTCCCCAACCCACTCATTCAGGATTTATCTGAAGGTAAGGGTTATTTTGCAGCCATTATGGACTACAGGATTGAATTATGAAATGAAGTCCGAAGAATCCTCCCAACTGTTAACTCAACTCAGATCCATTCCGGGAGAGTGATGATTTATTTGCTGGCAATATCGACGTACAAAATTCCATGGCATTACGTCTGCTGAATCAAAACATTTCATATTTCAGCACATTAAAATTTCGCTGATGACACAATATCACCGTTGCAATAAATATTCTCTAGAGAACCATGCTGAATATTTCCTTTACTTCCCTTGCCTCTAACTGTTCATCTGGTCACCCTCCCTGTGTCTCTTTTCAACTTCTGTACCAGATTCACTCACTACCAGATGAATTCCGATTTTACAATTTTTTTTCACGCTCTGTACAGAAGGGACAAATCCTTTGTGCACTTGTATACTCAATAACCAATAGCTTAGTATGCTAGTGTATCAAATCAATATACTTGGAATATGCAGCTGTAAGTTCCAGATACGAGATATGACTACAGAAAATGAGAGGACAAACTGGAGAGATTATCCATTTTTTGCAAGTAAAAAATAACAGTTAGCTTACCAAATTTCCAATACATAATTGGAAGAGGCCACCGACGCAAACTACCATAAATAACATATGGTCCAAAATTACTTTGCAGAGTCGAACAAAAAGTTCACAACAGGCGAGATTACAAAAGCAACATAAAATATTAAATGCCCCGTCCATTATAGAGCTTCCCAATCACATAACATGAGTTCGAACCAGAAGAAAGAGAACACACCTAGAGCTTCATTAAACCACACGCCTGACATCATTCACAGCACCGTGATTCCAGAGGCGAAAAAGACTACAGAAAGTTAAAAATAAGAAACAACCAGAAACCTAAAAAGGGAAAAGGCAAAGAGAAGCATTCACGACCTTACCAGCAAAGCATAGGAAGTTGAGATCTGCCATAAAATTGCTTAATAGTCAATACTCACGAGAAAGGGACCTATCTGAACGCCGGTACTCACGATCCTTTTCCTGTGGTTCAGATTTTGCTCGATCATCACCATAACCGTCCTCTTCCATTTGATCGTATTGATCATGGTCACGATCAGAATGTCCATAACGATCATTATCACCCTGTCCATCAGGTATATCATACTGTCCCCGGCCTTCGTGGTGTTCATAATACTCGTAATGTCCACGGTCATGCTCTGCTTCTTTACGCCTATGCCCATGCTCAGGCTGTTCATACCATCCCTGATCATCCTCAGGCACATCATCAACGTTCCTATCTCTACCACCATGCCGACCACTCTCATGTTTTGATTCAACACGGTCATAATCATACTCTCTATCACGGGAACGTCCGCGATCATAATCAGCGTCAACCACTTCAGAATCCCTATCTTTATCCCTCTCCCTGTCGCGATGGCGATCAGGGTCCCGGTCCCGATCTCTATCTCGCTCCCGTCCACGATCTCGATCACGTGCTCTATCACGATCACGACCCCGGTCTCTGTCCCTACCCCTGTCCCTGTCCCTGTTCTTATCCCGATCTCTGTGGAGCCTATCATCCCTGTGATCACGATCCTTTGGCTTGTCATGAGAGCGTTCACGAGATTTTTCCCGTTCCCTTTCTCTCTCCCTTCCCCGTTCACGGGATTTTTCCCTATCCCTGAAAATGTGTTGGTCAACAGCAGTCATATATGGCATGCTGGCAAATATGGGTCATGTTGACCTAGTATATAACCTCACTAGCTAATCAAGATGCCGCAAACAACACTTAACAGTTATTCTGTCTGTCACTAATAGTCCATTAAGCATTCTCATGAAAATATAATTTTACAACGCAAGACCATGAAGGCTGGCAAGTATGGATAATGTTGATCTTGTATGACCCCACTAACTAACGCAGATGTCGGAACTAAAGACTTTTAACAGTTATTCTGCCACTAAATACCCATTAAGCATTCTCATGAAAATATGATTTTACAAATCAAACAATGAAAGCCAAACCGAAACAAGATAATTTACTGTAAATAGTGTTCAAAGCACTTCATGAACTGAGGAAACGATCCCCCCATAAGACCCGATCATTCTAGGTACCCTTTCTTTGCTTGAAAAACTCACTGCCACCTAAACATTCTACAATAAGAAGCAAAAAACTAATGACAAAAATACTACCTGCTTTGATCATCTCGTATCCTAGGCTCCTCAGACCGTGGTGGTCCTGACTGCTGTTGCTCTCTGAACATTCAAAGAAGGGACAAGATGCACATTATATTTCACAAACATAAAGATATGTCAAATTGAATAACTCAGGCCACTAACCAGACACATCAATTTATTCAGGTGTGATAACAACTAAAGATACTAATGCCAGGTATTCAATTATCTACAATCCTATCGGAAAATACTTAGTCACAAATGCTCACATGGCAAGATCCCAACCTAAAAAATTGACCCCATTTTATTGATATTTGTTTGATAAACTAAAATTCTCCCCCCGTGCTAAAACCACAACAACACTCTCATCACCTACGACCGAGATGAGATGAGAGAACACAACACATACATTACATGTAATTTGGGCAGAAACTTCAGTTCTAAAGAGTCACTGACTAATTGCTATACACTAAAGGAAGAAATCAGAATAAAGTCCACTTATCAAAAGACAACTGAACTTGAAGAGGAGGGGTAAAAAACAAAGTGGGAAGTGGATGGACAATCAAAAAAGGATAGAACAAAATGGATGGCAGAAACAAAATAAAGAAAACGCAGCAAACATAAAAATACTTATTAGTAACTTCCCTGAAAGAACCCCACCCAAATTGAGTTAGCCTTCATGTTTCAAGAAAATTTCTCAATGCATCCGAAGTATCCAATCAAAACTGAGGTTCCATGTTTTTTTTTTTTTAATGATTTAGGTTTGCATATAAACCTCATCAGTTAGCATTTTCTAATCAAAGTATTGGATTAGTTTAGTTCCTGCACTTTCGATGTTGCCCTCAAACTTTCAACATAGCTCTAATCCAGTCCAACTGATAATGACAGCTAAATTTTTTTACAGAAAAAGTTGCACTATTTCCTGTCAATTTTGGAGGATAAATTGTTAAAGCCAAAAATATAGGGACTGAAGTCAGAATCTCTGTAATCTCAGGGTATAGTGTGTGATTAATCCTAAATTTTTCAATAAACATTTTGTATTCTGAATATCATTCATTTCTCTCATTATGTATAAAGGTGCATGTCCATGTTGAAATCAGGCTAATTACCTCCCAGAATGCCTCTGATTAACTTCTTCGCCTCCTACCCTGGTTGTTCCCAGTCCACCACCCAGTCTGCGAGGTCGCCAGTTTGGAACAGTTCTACCACGTTCAACATCCACAAGCACCCTTTTGTTGTCAAGTTTCTTCCCATCAGCTTGTTTATATGCAGCTGCATGACACATACGTGCGTACTCAAATACAAATAGTAAGTATATCAGAAAGAAAACCAAAGCAAGAAAAGGACAAAAAATACCTTTCATATCTCGAGTATGCATGTACTCGATGAATGCATAGCCCTTGGGTTTATTAGTTTCTTTATCTGTAATCAAGCGAACCTGGGACTCGAAATATGAGACAAATAAGCATAGTTACAGAAAATGAATCAATCTGCAGCAGAGATGTACTATCTATAGCTTTTTAAATATTTCCAAGTGACAATGTTATCAAACAAGCTTTAACACTAGAGTATCCTAATGGCACGGCAGACAGGCAAATGCCTAATTAGCCGTGCTCACCTTATATCATACAGCTTCCCAGGCAAGATGCATCACCACCACAGCTAGAGTTGCAGAAAAACCGTGGCCCATTAACCAGTTGTTGAACATATTAACCTCCCCTTACCAGGGAACATACTAATCTCCCCTTACCAGGGAACATACTAGTAACAACAAAATAACTATAAATAATGCATCAAATACCAGGAAATCTTCTGGACCGCTGAAACTTTTTTGATATCCTTTAAATCCAAAAGTCAAATTTTTAGTAGCAGGAAATGCACGTAGAAATCTAAGAAAGAGTTGAAGAGATGCTAATACTCCCAATAGATTTTACCCAGTGCAGGAAAAGGTTGTCAGTCTCCATTTGTTGCTTCATATAAAAGGCCAAAAGGCACAAAGCACAGTTGCTCTGCTCAACTTAAAATGTTCAGCTTGGCATGGAGGATGAAGCACCATCTTTGAAATTGGATTGTTTCAGATAGTAAAACAAAAGTAAACGAACCAATAGTACCATTCATGTAGTAAATTCTTTGCTCCCCTACCAGGGATACTGCTTACTCATTGAACCTTACTACTGGAAAGTACCTAAAAACTAAGACAATACCAAAGTCCCAAGTCGGGCAAATCTCAAACCCAATGATAAAAAATGGTATAAAAGGATAAGCGAGACAAACCCATGCACTACTGGTGGCAACTACACAAGGATACCAGAGCAATAAACCAAAACCAGATTGACCCTCCAACTAATAGTTCTCTCTGAGCAAAGTAAAGCTCACCACTCTTCCAAACTACCTCAAATTGAAAAATAAATCTCACTATGCACCAGTGATTGTGCTGATCAGTGAATTGCAATTACAAGTTTGATGCATCCATTCAATCAAGTGTGCTGACAGTAGATCTCAAGAACAAATTTGGCAAGCAATTACAAGTTGATGTATCACTCCAATCAAGTAGGTCAAAAGTAGATTATAAAAAATAAACTTAGCAAATCAGAGATGCATCAAACACCATCAGGGTCTGGCATGGATATGTGAAAAAGAGGGAATACTTTCTTTTATAGGAAACAATACTCTTTTAATGATTTGAAAATAATATATCAAAGAGTTAATAGGATGGACAAGATGTCCAACCATGAAATGGAAAAAATAAACTCAAAAAAAAGAGGGAATACTAGAGAAGCTTCATAGTCAAATCAAGCTGTAATTTTTGTATATAGTGCAACATAGCTTTAACAAAAATGAGCAAACAAAAAAAGAACCTTAGGAGATGATACAAATAGAAAGATAATCTAGAGAAAATAGTGATTAGTAAAATGATAGAAAATAACAGTTCGTAGTTTTTACAATTAAAAAAAAAGTTTGTAAATCAAAGTTCAAATTATGAAACTTTTGAGAAGACAAGGGGTTAAAAGTAAGAAGTTACCACATAACTGAACCTCTTACCGAATGAAAAGGCAATAACCTGAGCCCCACTTGGGGATGCTCTATAATACCTACCCGCTTGATAGGCCCATACGCCTCAAACTCCCTTTTGATTCTGCTCTCGGTTGTCTCATAGTTCTAAAAGCATAAAATATATCAAATAAGTACACAAGCAGGATATCGTGAAGCAGATTGAAAGTTGATCAACAAGGGGGGCAAAGTTACTCACAAGCCTAGCAATAAATAATGTCTTGTAGGGATCTCCCGAAACATTTGGATCGCTATTTGGATCATCTGTACATAGGAAAAACACAGGTAACTGAATAATCAACTCCATAGACATTAATTTCACAAAGCATCCAGCTACTAAAAAAGAAAGGAAAGCTTTTATCACATTTCTCAAGCTCCTCAACAGCCTTTTTCGCACCCTCCTCCAGTCGTAACTTGTGTATCCTTGCCCTTCTTTGTGCCTGGATATACAAAAATAGTTACAAAGATATATATAGAGCTCTGACAGGATTAGAAACAAATGGGAAAAAAAAACTTAAGAGACCCTCATGAGCCACAATGTCACAAATCCAAGAAATGATAACTCTAGTCCATAATTCCAAAAAACGGTAACCCCTAAATTTTACTTTTATCCACAGCAGTCACTTCCTTATGCAAAGGGAAATCTATGGGCCTTATTCATACCATTAAAATATGCAGTCAATTCATAAGCTTCAGACGATGCCTCACTTGTAATAACTTAATCTTCAGATCCTTAAGATTAAAATTCACTTATGATTGCATCAATAGAGTAACCCACTCCGGAGCAAGAATAACTGCATTTATTTCAAGCATAGCACCTTGGATAATCCAGAAGATAGACAGACATCCCACAAGAATGACTAACTCAAACCAACAAAAAACATCCTTATGGCATCTGTCTGAATGTGGTTTATGAACACCCATAAGTACCAATATGAACAATATCAAAAAATATCATAATTCACTGATTTGATCACACAAAAAATCTAAAGAACCATCGATGTCACCCGGTACAGAGAAAACAGAACTAAAGAAAACAACCAAAAGAAATTGAGTGTGCAGATGACAAAATCTTACAGGAGTTTCAGCCTCCGGGACAGGTGGAGCATAATCAGGATCGCCCGGCTTGGCGAAGCCATTGACAAATTGTGCCATCCCTTTGAAATAGAAAACATTACAATATTAGCTACAAACTAACAAATAATATACGAAACAACATTTAATTTGTAAATGTATGTAACACCCGTATATGGCGGGCATTTTCTCTTTTCTGGAGGTGGTTTGTATTCCAAAGGAGGCCGAGGCTCAAAGAGCTTTAAAAGATTATTTGTTAAACCGGTGGGATGACTTTGGCCAATCTGCATAAGGATAGAAACACATCAAAGAAATTAGCATGAAACACAATGGATTTACAAGCCTAGTTCTCTTATCATTCTATGCACACTAACATGTAGATCGTTTATGTGAAAGCTTCCATGGAGAAAGTGATAGATATAAAGAATTACAAACTGAATCAACAAACCCTAAAGCATGAGCAGTCAGACTTTTTTTAGAACTTAAGACTAACTGTCTACTTAGCCTAATATACCCTACTAATGTAGGGCTAAGTAGAACCGTTTCCTTTTTAAATAACCCATTCTCATTATATTTCATAAGTGAACTAGTGAACCTATAGGTCCTTAAATGCGTTGACAAAGAAGAACAGCTGGTTAAACGATGGCTAATCTTTTGATTTATATCTTTCTATTCTTATTATTGATATCTTCAATATAATAACCAAACTAACAGCCCAAATCAATACTAGGGTTACAAGGAGATGTTTCCGTAAATCCAAACAACCTAATTCATTGCTTAATCACCCTAACATCATGAAATCAACCCCAAAATTACTCAACCACCTCAATCAAATCCAAAATTAGCAACAAAGTCCCCAGACCTATCAAAGAAAGTACATATAAACAACAATCTGAATATTACATAAAATTAAACAAATCCAGATGATAATTAACACAAATCAATCATAGCTCAAATAAACCCTAGGGTTACGACTAAGCTGACACGCTACTCCAAAACACGTAATAAAAACACCAAGAGATCGAACAAAGATAGAGAATTAGGGTTTAAAGTGAGTACCAGCTTGAGTTGCATAACATTGGCTCGGTTCTGAGCCTTCGTACGGGCCTGTACGGCGGCGTTTTGGTTGCGCATGAAGGCATCGTTGTAGTCCCCCATCTTCGCAGAGATCGGAGAAGCCTAGGGTTCTCTCCTGATACGACCGATTGATTGAAACAATAATCAACGGAGAAGATTACATCCCCTTCATCACGATGATTAGATGGATATAGAGATCTCTGGTTGAAACGGCAGATAGACACTGAAAGCGGCAGCTAAAGATAGAGAAGGGTTTTGAGTCAGAGGTATTTATAGACGATGAAGCGGGTGAGAGGGTAAGTNCATCATCTTGGGATAAATTTAATCTTTTGACTTGTTTTTTAACTGGGCAATCAGGACTTATGTGGCCTGGTTTTCCACAGTTAAAACATTTAATATTATCTTGGACTTTCCCCTTTCCTTTGTTATCTATCCTTTTAGATCTAAATTTTCTTCTAGGTTTTCTTGAAGATTCAGGTTTAGATCTTTTGGCAGTTCTGTGGTGAGGGAAAAATCTTTGGTAAGATTTATTTTTAGAATAAGGCTTATGTGATTTGGATTTTCTGTGTTTCTTATGGGAAGGAGCTAATGACTGTAACCCATATTGTTCACAAATATTACCTAATTCATATTTAGCCTTATGTTTTTCATTTGTTAATTGCTTATTGATTCTCATATCGACACACCATTTTAATCCTATNATTTTTTTTTTTGGTCAAATAACACTTTATACCTTTAAATATTAAGATTTATAGATTATACCCTCAATCACATAAAAATATATCAACATGATCTATTTCGATTTTTTTTTTTACTTAAAATGCTCAAAATTGAGTACTACTGTGCATAAAAAATAAAAATATAAAGACGAAAACACTAAAATACGTTAGATAAAATTTGTTATTTGAAACCATATTTTTAGCTCTTGTTCACACATTATACATGATCGACCTTAAACACTCCAGTAGCGAGTGAGTTAGCCAAGCAGTAGCTTTTTATAGGACGACTAAGTACGTTAAAACCAACTTGTAGTTAGATAGCGACTTGTAGTTAGATAGCGACTTCATGTACTGTTTGATGCTATTTTACCTCTTTACTAGAGGACTCAAATGAAGTCGATTGGCAAGAAAGATTCAAATGTTGCTAAATTTTGCTCAGTCATATTTTCTTAATTTCATTTGTTAATGAATTCATTCCAAGCTTTCCAAAAATTTTAAAGTTTTGGGTGTCCACTGAAATTATGAATATCTTTAGGACGCATGATGTGAAGTATCATTAATCTTTCATGGAATACCGTGTATAATTCATATTTTATCTATAGTACTATTATTGAAAAGAAATTAGTTTTTTTTTAATCAAAAAGCATTAGTTGAAAGAGATTTTTATGGATCTTCTCGTTATGTTCTCTCTTATAAATTTGATTTTATAAGATAATAAAATATTTTGCAATGATATAAATGGTACTTTTAATCTGACTTAAAATTGTTCACCATGTCAATCTCGCTATCTTTTGTGCATGAAGAGGTAGAAACAATAAGAAATCAATCCTACCTATAAGAATCAATCGACCATGGCTCAATGCATGAAAATTTTGTCATAGTAAAGCTTACGGCATATATGCCTACCTAAAAAAAAAAAAAAAAAAAAAATCATATATCCAAACACCATTAGAAAAACTCAACATATCTCTCTCTCTCTCTCTCTCACACACACACACACACATATTTAGAGGGTTTACCTCTATACTACATAAAAAAAAAAAAAAAAAAGAAGCCCCTCTCTCATATTTAGAGGATTTACCTCTATACTACTTAAAAAGAAGAAGGCATAACTACAAACCTAATAAATGTTTCTTCCGATGCTTAAGTTGGAGGTAGAGAATTCATTTTAGTTATATCAAGAGCCACAAAAACAGAACCCACCTCCAAAATCTGAGAACTACTAACTGTGAAGAGTTCCCAAATTGAGACGATAGAGTTTTTGTGAGAGTGAGAGCCTACCTGCTTTTGTAATGATGAAAACGAAGAAGCTTATGTGGACTGATCTGCGATGATGAAGATGACAGAGTTGTGGAGCTTATGTGGAGTGACGATTGAAGATGATAGAGTTGTGGATCTTTTGTGGAGTGACGATTGACGATGAAGTTGTGGAGCTTCTGTTGAGAAAATAGCTAACCTTGGATGGTCACTAGATCTAGCAAGTGATATTTGGATTATGAAAAATATCGAGTGGGATACATAGCCATTGGAGTCAAAATTTATGAATTGACTATCTAAAATAGGTAAAATTCCCCTTTTACATAACCCTTTGGAGTTGCTCTTAGGGCCTCCAACTCTGTCGAGCCACCCTTGGTGGCAGGGTCAAATATATAGACATTTTTTATATCAACATATGGGTAATATCGAAAAACCCCTAACCATTGAACCTTAGTGATTATTTGCTGTTTGCAAAATTAATAAGGGATAAATTAACTCTTTTGATGGTACCTTAGTGTATCGCCGCCATCCAATTTCTTAATAGAGTAATGCTACATGGACTTAAAAACTAGACTTGATAATCTAAACCATCGATTTCACTGTGAATATCAGCATTTATTGGGACCCACTACCTATTCAATGATCAAGATTATCAAGTATAGTTTTTAAGTCTATTTTTTAATTCCATGTAACATTACTCTTCTTAATAATACTTTGAATTATATTACGTAACCGAAGCCAAGTCCATCCCCATCAATTTGATTGTGTTTATATATATACTAATACAAATCCATAGAATTAACACACAGACATGTAGTACACCTGAATCTTCACTCCTAATAAACATAATTCATGGCAGGAACAAGCAGGAACTGATTTGCCAGTGATACATGATTACCAGAGGAGTGGTGTGTTTGTCTTGATCTCAAGCTCTTGTGCTTTAATAGAAAGGCCGAATTTTCTAAAGTTTCTGCCTCTGATGCCCGGAATGATCCATCTCTCTGGAGTCGCTGCTTGAAGACGATGGATTGAGTCCATACTCGCTTGTTCCTCCGTATTCGCTGCTTGCAAATTCCTGGCTTGACATAACCATTTTCCTGAACTTCATCATGTCAGCATTGTATGCACCAGTATCGTAAGCCTGGGCGGTTCCTTTAGCGTTGAAGGCAGTGCTCTGGCCTGGCTTCACTACCTCGTTCAAGTCGTCCAGTGATGAATCTCCATCCAGTGCGCGAACTATCTGTTTTCCATAAATCACATAAAGAGTTTAGCATCATTGTTTCTAGCTCACTTTATTAGATGTATGGCCCCTCTTTCATTGTTTATAGCTCTTAATTTGGTTCAAAGGGCTCATATAAACAACTAAATTTTGTTGGTGCTCGATTCTGAACAGCCATAGCATATCTAATCGGCTGGTCTCTCTACAGTATTTGGTGTAGCTTAGGGATCCATACCTGGCTCATCTTCGAGCGCCTTCTAGCAGAATGACAAATGCTGGCTGAAGCACAGGCTACCATGCGTGCCATCTCATTGTGGTTGAAGTTACCTTCCAAGCGTGGATCCACGAGCTCATCAAAGTTACCATCCTCCAGTGCTTTTGTTAGAAGGGGTCTAGCCTGTTCACCCCATGACAACAGGAAAACAAAGTTCAAGAGAACGAGAAGAATGGAATTAATAAGGCTAGATCAGTACATGAAATTTTCGTCAATTAGATGTACATAGTTTTACCACGTAAACGTGAAAAATGAGATACCAAACAAAAATTGTTTCTCAGAATTTTTAGGATTTGCAAATGGAAAGGTCAAGTGTTTACCCAGTCCACTAAACTGTCTTCCATAAATTTACTTGTGGGATCCACAGGTCGCCGCCCAGTTATGAGTTCTAAGAGCATGACGCCAAATGAGAAAACATCAGACTTTTCTGTTAGCTTGCCACTTGATGCATACTCTGGAGCCAAGTACCTGCGTTTTCATGTGATCGATTGCCATGTTAGCAGATTCCCATGTAACGTGCTCTCTTCCATTTTACAGGACTTGGAATTTCTACTAGTAGGGTAAGTAATGCATCATCTGGATATGTTTCTTTCTGAAAAACAGAACACGCAAAGAAGATTTCTACAGACATATCAAACTTCAGATGGAGTTCAAATTTAAAATCTCAGAGGCACTCTGAAAGAGTTTGATATGAAATGGGCAACTTACACTTTGTGTCAATAAACTATAGACCCGATCGCACTTCATCTCAACTACTATTAACTATTAAGTTTATCACATTAGCTTCTCAACTACTTGAATTGGTTTTATACTACTCAAAAATCAAATATCATTTTGGATGAAAAATATCCGCCCATTAGCATTTCGAATAAAGTGAAACATCATCTTATAACAGTCCAGGAAGGAAAAGTGACAAATTTTCATCTACTTTGTCGGATTTCTGCTGTAGTATAGTATCAAAATCTATTTCATGGCCGGAAACACAATGGGAGAAACAGGACAAGGGGCCCGGTGAGAGAGGGCGGTTGAGGGGGTTTTAACTTTTAAGTTTAATTTTCCCAAATGAAACTAGTTAAAGTTATAAACTATAGGATGGTAAAGTATCAGTTGCAAGAGATTTTGAAGTTTCTTGATCATATTAACTTTTACCTACAGAAGGCATGGCTTATAATGACTTACCCAAAAGTTCCCATGACACGAGTGGAGACATGAGTGTAATTGTCTGAAGACAGTTTAGCCAATCCAAAATCTGCCACCTGAATACAAAGTATTGAGACATAATTTATAAATCTAGGTGATATATATATATATATATATATATATATATATATCATGTTTTGTTTCATATCAACGCAATGAATTATCTCTAATCCTATCCAAAAGCTGCATTATATAAGGCCTCTTACCATGGCTTCACAATTATTGTCGAGAAGAATATTAGCAGCTTTGATGTCGCGATGGATAATTCGTGGGTGGCCTGCATGTATTTGACAAGATGATTGAGAGAGAGAGAGAGAGAGAGAGAGAGAGAGAGAGCAAGGAGGGGGGGAGGCAAAAATATCATACAGTCTTCATGAAGATAAGCAAGCCCTTTGGCCGATCCCAATGCAATACGAAGCCTGGTTGCCCAGTCCATAACTGGCTGATCCTTCCCTGCAACCAAATATTTGCTTTCAGACTCAACAGTGTACACTGTAATCATTTGAGGTAATTCAATTGAATGCTAATTTGAAGCTACTAGGCCACTATAGCTATTTGGTAAAGCCAACTCCATGAACTTAAAGACTCAATTTTCAAGAAGTCAATGAATGTTGAGAAAACATAACATTCAACTCTAGGGATGAAAATCACCAAGCTTAATGTAGCAACATACCATAAAGGTGAAATTCCAAGGTCTTATTGGCAACGAATTCATAAACCAACATACGCTGCCCATCAGCAATGCAATATCCAACAAGTGATACCAGGTGTCTATGATGAACACGACTAATGATTTCAACCTCAGCCTGGAACTCCCGTTCCCCTTGTCCACTGCCAGACTTAAGACTCTTCACTGCGACCTCCTTTCCATCAGGCAAAACACCTTTGTGCACGTACCCAAATCCACCTTGTCCTAGTAGATTGGCCTGAGAAAATCCACCAGTGGCAATAGCCAGCTCCTCATAGGAGAATTGGCTCTTGCTGAATCCAAGACCCATGTTTGGTGATTGTGGCAATGGTGTATGGTGTTGGTGTTGGTGTTGGTGTTGGTGTTGTCCTGAATAACCAGAGCTATATTCACTGCTTGTCATTACTGGGGGTGGTGCGGCCCAGCCACCAGGACCACCCATTGGTGTTCCCATCACTCCCGGTGGTGGAGGAAGCTGAACAACATGGTCCATAGGTTGAGGGCTGTTCCAGTTTGCCGAACCATTGTAGTATCCTCCACCTATGAATAAAATCACAAAAAACAGTAGTTACTAAATTGAGGCCCTAGCTTTTTGGTTTCTAATTATCAGTACAGCCAATTTCTAACAAAAGTTAAATAACATTGTTCATAAGTTATTTGGCGGGAATAATCACTTATGATGTTAAAAGCAGAGTTGATATATCAATGGCAATGACAGGATTCTTCATCAATACAACTCACAAAGTAAACAAGAAACAAGTAGCTCTTGCTTTTCTTTGATGAGCATCTTACTGCGTCAATCATAATAATGTATAAGGTCCCTTAATTCAATTTTCATTCTAAGACATTCTTTTTTGTAGTATCAGTAATCCTTCACCGAATATTGAGAATTGTTCCCGAGAATAATTTAAAGTGAGCTTCTACAGTATAATTTGAGGGGAAGTCAATGTTTGTTGAAACAGACAATTTAAACATAAGAAATAACCAAACTTGTTTTAATTAAATGTGTGTATATATTTGCATTGCTATGGTTTAGCATACCTTTGGGTCCAAGTGCAGGATCCATATAATATGGTCGTTTCTTCTTCTTCCTCGTGCATGTTAGGCAGACAATGACAAAGGCAAGAATCACGAAACCTGCGATGGCGACTCCTGCAATAATTACATTTGAGGAAGATGAATCAGATGACGGTGAGCTGCTGGAGCCTGAAGATGCATTTGAGGAGCCTGATGACTTGTGTGAAGGTGCGTGGGAAGGTGGAGGCGGAGATAAAGTCTTGGAGGAAGATGGAGGCGATAGAGAAGAATCAGATACAGGAGGTGGTGGTGGAGAAAGGATAGGCAATGGGGGTACACCTCCATTGCTAGAAGGTGGTGTAGGAGAGGCATTGGGAAGAGAAGGGGGTAATAGTGCTTCTGATGGAGGTGGTGGTGAGGGTGAGGCCGGTGGAGCACCTGGTGGAGGAAGTGAAGCTGGTGGTTCTTTTGGGGCTAGGGATTGAGATTGGGCTGGCGGTGGTGGTGATGGAGAAGATTCTTTCGGGGGAGGGGATGATGGTAGAGGAGGAGGTGAAGATGCTGGTGGGGATGGTGGTGGTGATGTAGGTGGGGCTGGTGGGGGTGATGATAAAGATGGAGGTGGCGCTGATGTTGAATTTGATGATGTTGGATCAGGCGGGGAAGAACCCGAATGTTGAGATGGTGGAGACGGAGCAGTCACAGGGGATGAAGCCATTTTCAAATGAACTTCCGGCCAAGATTTACGTCCAAACACGTACCGGAATTTCCCTCTCCTGTAACTGCCCGCCACGAGAATTCAGTACCCCTGAAGAAATTGCCAAGGTCCACATAAAACATTGTCATTTCATCACATTTATCAAATGTATTTGCAAATTTGCATTAAACAAATTCACAGATCCATTAATAAAACAAGAACTCCAATGACACGTTACATTCTTCATCGATCGTGAAGAGATATTTTCTAGCGTTCCCGAAAAATTTTATGCAGATGCATGTTAACCTGTAACTTTTTGTGTTCATTGTAATTCTAGATATTGTACAGAGATAGAATATACCTGAATGAATGAAGAAGTTAGGAGGCTTCTCAAAGGTAAGAGAGAGAAACGGTGTTGCATTGTGATTTTTTCATCATAGAAAGACCACCCTTCCTCTCTGTGGCATCCTACAAAGAAGGGCCTCTCTTTCTCTCTCTCCAAATCTTTTGCCTTGGATGCCTCTAGTTTAGGCTTGAGTTGGTTATTTCTTGTACCAGTTCCTTGGCTTGTGATGGTTTGTTATTTGAATGACCTGACAATTGTCAATTTTCTAGATTACGAGTGTTTCTATTTCCAAGATTGTCTCTGTCCATCCATTCCCTTATAGTTGTTTAGATTAGTCCTACGTTGCTTAGTTGTGTCTTTCTTATTTATTTGGAGTGGCGCTTGGGATGAACAGGTAATTGACATGTTTCAAATGAAGCACACACCAAGCGGTCAGTTGAATTTGAGTTTTGTTTTTAACTAGTACAAACTCGTGGAGAAAAGTAACATAAACAATGTATGGCTGCACTCGGGTAGACTTGATAAATTTCAACAGACGACGCATCACAGTTTAATAATGTCACCCACTACAAGGAGGACTATACTAGGGTGAAGGTATTAGGGCAAAGCAATGACTGAACATGCTGATTCCAGCCGTCATTTTTTACACTATTACTTACGAAGACCAAAACTTTCATTGTAAATAAATGTCATAGCCCCACGTTTCAATCTGAATTAACTGAAATTCTTGCGTGTGAGTGTGTAACAAGGGGTAATAAGATATAGTTTAATGAACACAAGGGCGACCGTATATGAATTGGGGCCTAAAACAAGAATTTCACATTAGACAAGATCTTTTACAAAAAATTTCAGTGTGGTTTAGTTTTAATGTTTTAGTGGTTTTGGGATCGGATGGGACCGGCTAATCAATTGGGTGCAATTATAAAGTCGGGATTTTACGCATGAATAAATTAATTAGAGTCTTAAAGAGAGAACAAAATAGTTATAGATAAGAACAACGAGAGAGAAATATAATTAGAATGGGAGTGAGAGAAAGATTTGGAGAGAGACGGTGAGAGTTGAGGAAAAAAGTGTGAAAGGAATTTGAGAAACAGTGTTAGTTATAACGCTAGAATTCATTACTTTCAAATTTTTTTAAAAGATTTTGTTACATTTTAGGGTTTGTTTATAAAGTTTTACATAGACTTATAAAAAAATTGTTATATTTTAGAGTTTTCTAAGACTTTACCTAGAATTGTCAAATACATTAGACATTAAACTTGATCCATTCAAAATCAACTCAAAATATAAAGCTAAACTAAGGACTAAAAATTAATTGGAGTCCTTACGGTCATAAGATAGGCCATATTATGCCTCCTCCCATTCAAAAGAACAAAGTGTTTACGTATTTTGAAATGATCATAGTCTCTACGAGTTCCCCACTGTCAAGTAGATTAATGTTTTGTCTTTATTTATTTTAAAAAGTACTATACTCGTAATAGATAAAAAAAAAATAAAAAGTGAGATTAATCGGAAGAGATGATGAAAATAAATAGTTTAATTTGTGTTTTAATTTTACATAAAGACAAAAATATAACTAAAAAGAGAACGTGTGTTTGTGTGCATAATAGAGAGACAATAACTAGTGATGTCTAATAATATATTCAACTTTATTATTTTTTTGTCAAATTTAATTTTGCATGCCATTGGACTAGACTTTTGGACCCAAATCATTTAACTAAATTTTTTTGTTGGTTGAAATTTTAATTGAGTTCTTTTGTTTGACTCATTTTTTGTAGGTTTAAATTTTTGGTAGACTATGTTATATATATATTTACAAGTTTGAGGCCTCTTATTTAGACTTCTATATGGGCCAGCCTTGAATGAATATGTCAAAACCAAAAATAATGCCATTGCAGGCAGCTGCAGATCGTCTTTAAATGTAACTTATAGGCAACCCCCGAGTTACAAACAAGACTCTATATGTACATGAAACAGAGGAATAAACCAGAAAAGTTTCACCAATAACCACCAAAGATAGACATTGTCTCCTAGCAAGACTGCTCAGTGTTCAAATATCCAATGGCTGAAATGATTACCATAAAAAGTAATAAGAAGAGTGGAAATTAGATGCAAACGAAGCTGTTCACATAAGCTACGCACTTCGCATCATGTTCAGATACCCCATGCAGCAATTTAGTTTCTTTAGACTTGAAGTCATAAGCATAGAATTTCTTCCCATTCTGAATCAACAGCACATCACTATTAGCAAACACCACCGCCAGTGGATCAAGGGCATCCCCACCAAAAACTTGGTTGTCAAGAAGGATACGTTCTTTCTCTTCCCACATCCTGGAATTACTGTTCATCTGCATTGTGTTTGAGTGGACATTAGCCAACACATGAACTTTTATTGAACAACCACTTGCATGAGCTGTACAAAGCTTTCCATCCATCATCCCTAAACCCCCACTGCCACCAAAATAGCTTTGCAGAAATCGAGACCTGTCCTTTGTCAGATCAAAGGCAAGAATACCACCATGTTTCGCCCTCCAGTATACAACGCCATTCACATGAACTCCTGATCTTGGCATGGGCATTCTACAAGCAAAGCATATCTCCCCAGAAATTTTCCAAGATCCTTCTTTGGAGGAATAGATCTCAAATTCAGTAGCATCATCAAAATCAGCAGATGGGAAAGCACAAATGAGTTTGTAATCAGCCACAAAGTTGAGGAGTGATGGTTCAAAGACGAGTACAACAGCAGGATCAGGCCCGTGATCAGCATTTGGTTTTGGAAGTTTTGTCCACTGCTGAGTAACAGGATTGCAGATGTAAAAGGCTTTATCCTCCGTGCAACCCTGGCAACAAAGTAGTCCATTGGATGAAGACTTGATGTCAAAAGGTACAGGCAAAAACTTCAAAGAGGGGTCTGGCACTCCACAAGATTTTAGGTCAGTGGAAACAAACAATGGCGGGTCTCCAAGAGTCTGACAAAATAGACCTGAGATAGCACGGAAGCCAAGTGACTGTTTATGTGCAAAGAACGGAGTTGAAATCTGGTACTTCCAATCCCTACAAACACCTTGAAACCTAAAAAGTGATTTTGCAGGAAGGAAAGGGAGGGCATGTTCCCTTATTATGTCCTTGAGGTCCATGTATATCTTATTGTGCCTTTCTCCGAGGAATTTACCAGGCCTTTTTCCACGATCCATTGACTTGCAACAAAAAATTATTCTGCTATTACAAACACAACAACACTTCAGAGTATTTCATGGTAGACAAATTTGCTAACATATGATACTACAACAATAAAAAATAAAAAATAAAAAATGAGGTTTTCCCTGTTCCTCTAGATGCCTTCCAGGTATATAAGGTTTAAGTCCCTAAATTGCCAACAATCAAGCAGACCAAACAAAGCCCTAATTACCAACAAAACCACACATGATACAACAACAATACAAACAAATTGAAAAATGAGGTTTCCTCTGTTCCTCTAGAATATACGATTTAAGTCTCTAAATTGCCAACAATCAAGCAGACCAAACAAAGCCCTAAATTACCAAGAAAACCACACAGACGAAAAACAAGATCATAGAAAATTCGGATCTTAATAGTGATCGAAATGTAAAAATCCATTCACGCATAAAAATACCTATAAACCCTAGCCTTTGATCTTGGAAAATGAACTATAAGAAAGGTCAGTGATCGCAAAAATAAAATCATTATTACCGGTAAGAATTAGAGTATTGAAATCAAAACAAAATGACTAGGGGAGAAGGAGATCTGAGAATAGATACTTACCCTAGCAAAATCTGATACTGATCCAACAGAGCGTCCTTGATCGGGTGATAAATGGGTTGTGAAAACACGCGTTGACTCCAAACTTTTCTTAGGGTTTCCCGAAGTTGCCTCGTAGAAGGATAGGGTTTTCTTCGAAGTTTTCAGGAATTGTTTGAGAATGTGGAGCCAATGTAGTTCGCGTATTTCTAAATGCGGTCTAGGATTAATGTCACGTCGTCCCTCATAAGTTCTGAAAATATTAGTTTAGACCCGCAATTAATTATTTTGATTTGCTCCTTTGCTATATGCCCTTAGGAATTTGAACAGAAAACGATCAAGCGACTCGAAAACAAAACTTGATTTATTTTATTACATGGTATTCAGATTTGTACCGACTGTTCTTTCAAACTCTAATATGAGTCGTAGTTGAATTAGTTTAAAAACATATCCTTGAGTAACAAGTGTGGCGGGTCTTTAGAGGTATGAAAAGTAAGACTGTCAAAATCCGACACATCACGATTAATCAGTACGAATTAAGCGAGTTTGGGTGATAAACGGGTTGACACGCCAAACACGTTTAATAAACGGGTCGTGTTCGGATAAGACTTGTCAAATCATTTATCACACGTTTACCCGTTTAAATAAAATTAATATAATAATAAATTAATAATTATTTTAAAAAACTAACAAAAAAAAGAAGTAGAAAAATTAATAAAAAAAAAAGAAAGTAATAATTCAAAGATAAAAGAGATGAGATGAGGAACACTTCAAAGACAAAGACAGTACCACAAAGCGTTAGATCAATTGGTGAGGGACTGTTCTAACTAAACCAAGGTCTCGAGTTCGAGTTTTGGAAATCCAACTATGTTTGGTAGGGAAAGCTTTGTCGCCCTTGTGGTCCTACCCGGCTTGAATCTAGATTAGTCGGAGTCCAAAGTGACTTTCGGATACCGGATGGTCTGACCAAAAAAAAAAAAAAAGAAAGACAAACTAATGCCTTTTGTTTTTGTTTCACATTGGAAAATGAGGGGAGATGGAATGGACTGAGTTGCCTATAAAAAACAATCGCCTAGGTTTTGTTTTTTTGTTTTTGTTAAGCTTTCAAGTCTTATTTTTATGAGATTTAACTAAAAATTTCTCTTTTTTAAGGTAAATATAATTAGCAATAAACGAGTTATAAATGCGTTATGTCGTATTACCCGTTTATTAAACTGGTCGTGTTCATGTTAAGATTTTTTATCTGTTTATTAAACGTGTCGTGTATGAGTTTATATGTTTTTCACCCGTTATTCGTTTAAACGGACACAATTAATAATTCTAATGAAAAGTATCGAACCAGTAACCTTTTATTTGTAAGAAAACAACCTTATCACCCTAAGTTTTAAATATATATTTTTTTCTGGTCAGTCAAAATTATAGATTGAATATGTGAGTGTTTAATATTCTCTCATTCATTGTGAGCCACTCAAACAAGAGTACTTTTTTTTTTTATGGACTGCGCCTCTCTGAGTGAAGAAGAGAAGAGTTTTGTATAGAAACGCATCCGCGTGACTTAATTTTATCGCTATTAAAATTTGTTTTACTAATTGGTTCTAGCTCCAGAGAACATAGGCATGGAGTTATTTTGATTTACGCTTGTCTACACATGCTACACCAAGAGAAAGAAAGGACCCAACATAAGTCCAAAATTCAGAGAATTAGGTCCATTCTATTAAGAACAGACCATGTTGATGGCCATATTGTCAAGAATGATCTTTATTTTACTGCGTACAGCAATGAAACTCGAAAGCCAACAGAGTTCTATACACTGGACTGTTGAGTAAATTCTCTTTTGCCAGAAGAGAGATTCACATGGTTGATCAAGTAATTAAATGGGAAACTGATCACAACAATGGTGACATATCATGGATAATGGACCGTATAGAAATTAAAATTACTTTATTCTATCGATCCTAAAAATTTTAGAAGTGATTCTTAGACTTTGAATCGATCAAAATTTAAAAAAATTTGATTCGATTCAACTTCATTTTATATCATATTTTGATAAATTGAAGTCATAATTGGATCTAATTTGATTGTATCCTTTACTAAAGTACAATAATAATGGTACCAAAGAAAATCTCCAAAACAGATCATGTTTAGAGATGGTGCTGTACACCAGTAAATTAGAACAATTTGACTGGAAGTAAGTAAAAAAACACACAACTTACACAGAAAAAAATGACAGCTTGAATGCATACTGACCACAAAACACCAGAAAGAAATCTGGTGGCCAATTCCTGACTATCATCAAGAAAAATAATTTTACCTTACCCAACAATGGAGAGAGAGAGAGAGAGAGAGAGAGAGCTCAGCCGAAGCACTGGTCAGTGGGAAGTGGGCCGGGGATGGAACCATTCTCAAAGAACTGCAACGCAAACACAACAACAATGGCAAGCAATGACAAGTAAGACAATCCTTCCACAGCTCCCAACAACCCAAAAGGCCCATTAGGTAAACCTGAGCCAGTTTTGGTCTTGGTGTACAACGACCAAGCCACAATCCCCACAACAACCAGATAGCTCAGACCCTCAAGTGCACCGATTGAGCCACCCGGTCCGGGCGGTAGGCCGCAGCCGGTCGTCTTGAGGGTGTAGAGAGACCAAGCAATCACTGGGGTGGAGACCAATCCACCAACAATCGCTGCTTTCTCAGCAATTCCATTGTCAGTTTCACTACTCTCTTTTGCCATGGCTTGAACCTTGAGCTTGAGTGGTACATGGGACCCTCCTGTTCTTCTGTGCAACAGACTGTACCTATGGCGGTGCAGGGAAGGCAGTGAGGTTGAGACGGGAGATAAGAGCATCATCATCTTTGAGGAGGCATCCATAGTTTTAAGTTTGGAAAGGAAAAAAAGCAAAAGTTTTTATTATGGGTTGAACTGATAAAAGATTCGCTTTTCGTCTTTTAATCATGTAAACTCGACTTCAAGCTCCTTATCCACAGGAGATCTAGTCCACATAACGGGTTACTGGAACTAATTCACAGTTTTAAAAAAATTAAAATTTTATCTATTCATTCGTTTAAGGAAAAATTTCAATGATGTGTCCCTAAGTTTATCGTATCTTCAAAAATATTTTATTATCAAAAAATCACTACACTCCCTATTATTAAACCACAGTTTATAATAAAAATAAAGTATCTAAAATACTAAAACTACCCTTACATAAATTTCAAGCAATCTTTTTATATAAAATTTGAGCTAATTAAAATTTATTTTTTTACATATTAAATTCTTGTTGGTTAAATTTGTTTTCTACATATTAAAATTTGAGTCAATTAAAATTCGATTTGAGGTAATTAAATTTTAATTTTTTGTGCATTAAAATTTGAACTCTACTTGAACTATTAATCTCGATTAAAATTCGTTTTGAGTTAATTAAAATTTATATTTTTTATTTATTAATTATTAACATTTAATTCAAGTTGATTAAAATTTATTTTGTACATATTAAAAGTTGAGTCAATTAAAATTTGTATTTTTTTATGTATCAAAATTCGGACTAATCAAAATTTAATTCAAATTGATTAATATTTGATTTGAGCCTCGAATAAAATTTTTATCAATCCAAATTTTAATACGTAAAAAAAGTATAATTTTTAATCAATTCAAATTTTAATACATAAAAAATAAATTTTAAATAGTTCGAATTAAATTTTAATCAACCCAAATTTTAATATGTAAAAAAATTAAAAATAGAGAAAATCTTATTGACTATATTTCTATCTAGAAAAAGTGTGGATGAAATTTTTTTTATAAAAATTACATTCTAATTAACACCTTTAATTTGAGAAAGAGTGTCAATAAAGATTCAAAAACTACAAAAAAATATCTTTGAATATATTGATATAATCCAATGACAATATTGTAACATTTTAACTTATTCATTAAAATTTCACATTGTGTGGACCAAGTTTTTCATTTTTTTGATACAGATCTCGTAATATTATTTTATCTTCAAAGATATTTTAAAAATTGCATTTTTCCTCGAGAAAAATAAATTGTACCATACAAAGTGTTTTACCTTATGGAACGTCAATAGGCAAAAAAATACACTGCTTATTAATATTTGAGCACATTGTTAATAGTTTTTTTTTTGAAGTGTGAATACACATTGATAATTTAAATTTTAAAATCCAATAATATTATTAACTTGACGTTGATTTTAATTGAGTTAATATAATTAACAAATTTAACATGAATACAGACAATTATAGTTTTTTTGAAAGTAACATAATAATAACTTACTATGCTTAAAAATCGAAATTAAAAAAGAAGTATACAGTGTACTTAATTTAAATTACTGACCAAAAAAAATGAAATATTGATCCTAGTAGTAGTTTATAGGACATAAATATTCTTTGAAACATTTATTTTCCACTACCGCACTTGGCATGTGTCTGTGTGTAGCCATTAGCCAAGCCGCACTTGGCTTTTCAAAGTCTCATCTCAACCACCAACTTGCAGACAGCTCAATGGTTAGCTCGTAAAACAGCTCGCACTATCAAACCAAATAAATATCACTGTGAGCAAGTATTCCACCAAGTCAATAATAAGCCAGTCACTACATTAGCCGCTTCAAAAACGAAAAGCGAAAAGCCGAGCCGCTAATACAAGCTTGTAGCGCTACATTTTACAAACCCGGACAACAGACAACGATGCCAACATATATAATACTAAGAATAATTTTAAGAATGCTATCGTCACCCCCAACCGTCCGATTAAGATCACAAAACCCACCAATGGTCTTAGCCGACAGACTCGGACACAAATACCCCCTAATGTACCTAATATAATCCCAGATGGGAGCACATGCATTAGGACATTAACCAGCCAAATCCGTACCTGACAACTAAAGCCATCTGGTATAGTCAGTCACATGCACTGCACATGATAAAGGAGAGCTAACGGATAACACGTGGTGCAAGACGACTGGACAGCTCAAAAACGTCGTCGAATTGAAAGCAAGTTACTTGATTACAAGACAGTTCATACAAGCGTTTTACAGAAGAAGAATTTAAAAATAGCATTACGGGCATAACAAAAATATAAACCAAAATATATTGAGAATTTGAGTTCCCCTCTCTCCCTTGCTTTCCTTTCCCTCCAATTCTCAAGTCTCTCCCTCTCTTCTCTCTTTTGAAACCGAGTCCTAGAGCTGGGTGAACCCGCCCACACACAACCGTCATTTGAATTGCACCCTAACGGTTCTGTGATTGTGAAGTAAAGAAAGGCAAAGCGGGAAGAGTGCAGTAACGATTTTTTAAACAAAATATACCATCCAAAGACAATCTCCCTCCAAATTTTACTTTGTTCAAAGAAAGATAAAGGCTATAAAAAGCTAAATACCAGTCTGCAAACCAATTTAACTCGGTAGTTCTTTGCTCGCCTCCATGGACGTTAAACCCAGCAGAGCCACAGGAAAAACAAACTTACTAATGGTGCTTTGATGACTTTGGGCACTCGACTGTGTCATCATCTTCCTCTTCCTCATCATCACCATCTTCATCATCTCTCTTCCTCTTCTGTGAAGTAGATGGCGGCAGTTCCTGAACTTCACCATCTTGGTCTTCTTCTTCATCATCAATTTCTTCCTCCATTTCAGGATCTTCATCCTCATGTCCAGGTTCCATGTCACTACCCCCTCCAGCATCTACTTCAACCTGCCCAACAGGTTGAACAACGTACCCTCTGCCATAATCGTCTTCCTGTGCCATCAATGAAAAACAAAAATCAAATTAAAAAACAACTTTCAGGTTGTCATGATCAGCATATTTTAAAAAAAACTCAGACAAAAATTAGAAAACTGCCAAACANCAACATATATAATACTAAGAATAATTTTAAGAATGCTATCGTCACCCCCAACCGTCCGATTAAGATCACAAAACCCACCAATGGTCTTAGCCGACAGACTCGGACACAAATACCCCCTAATGTACCTAATATAATCCCAGATGGGAGCACATGCATTAGGACATTAACCAGCCAAATCCGTACCTGACAACTAAAGCCATCTGGTATAGTCAGTCACATGCACTGCACATGATAAAGGAGAGCTAACGGATAACACGTGGTGCAAGACGACTGGACAGCTCAAAAACGTCGTCGAATTGAAAGCAAGTTACTTGATTACAAGACAGTTCATACAAGCGTTTTACAGAAGAAGAATTTAAAAATAGCATTACGGGCATAACAAAAATATAAACCAAAATATATTGAGAATTTGAGTTCCCCTCTCTCCCTTGCTTTCCTTTCCCTCCAATTCTCAAGTCTCTCCCTCTCTTCTCTCTTTTGAAACCGAGTCCTAGAGCTGGGTGAACCCGCCCACACACAACCGTCATTTGAATTGCACCCTAACGGTTCTGTGATTGTGAAGTAAAGAAAGGCAAAGCGGGAAGAGTGCAGTAACGATTTTTTAAACAAAATATACCATCCAAAGACAATCTCCCTCCAAATTTTACTTTGTTCAAAGAAAGATAAAGGCTATAAAAAGCTAAATACCAGTCTGCAAACCAATTTAACTCGGTAGTTCTTTGCTCGCCTCCATGGACGTTAAACCCAGCAGAGCCACAGGAAAAACAAACTTACTAATGGTGCTTTGATGACTTTGGGCACTCGACTGTGTCATCATCTTCCTCTTCCTCATCATCACCATCTTCATCATCTCTCTTCCTCTTCTGTGAAGTAGATGGCGGCAGTTCCTGAACTTCACCATCTTGGTCTTCTTCTTCATCATCAATTTCTTCCTCCATTTCAGGATCTTCATCCTCATGTCCAGGTTCCATGTCACTACCCCCTCCAGCATCTACTTCAACCTGCCCAACAGGTTGAACAACGTACCCTCTGCCATAATCGTCTTCCTGTGCCATCAATGAAAAACAAAAATCAAATTAAAAAACAACTTTCAGGTTGTCATGATCAGCATATTTTAAAAAAAACTCAGACAAAAATTAGAAAACTGCCAAACACTTTTAAAGACTGCAGCAAAACTTGAACCAAAATTATTCAAACCCAAAAAAAAAACAGAAACGCAGAAAATTCTACATAGAACTGAACAATCATACCAGAATCCACATACAAATTCCAACCACATAAAATGACTAGGAAAACTCTCCAAAAGAGAAAAAAGGAAATTGAAAATACATAAAAAAAACCATAACAAAACTAATTAACCAGGCATAAAATTTTAAATAGAAACACAAATTAAACTTTTGACCTTGATTATAATAGAAAATGCAGCAGCAAGAGTACAGTAAGAATATATGGATTATCACAACCACAACGATTAAGATTCCATTCACCAGAACAGACTATCAGTGACAATCTCAACAGACATATAACATAACATTTCTTAATTCCAGCTTCATTAGATTAATATAGCCCATGCTACAACAAAAATAAAGTCAACCAATAATCAATAGGACCTAATAATACTAACATAGGTGCGAATTGCAAGAGGAAGATTATACATTGTGATATAATATCACGATATTCTGAGGACGATGCCTGAAACTACAACATCATCCCAAAATATTCGAAGTACAAATGAAAGAATCTTCAACACTCCAAAAAAATAGAATTGAATTTTACATATAACTACAACCAAAAAATTACATACTAAGGATATGCAGACAACTATTCATCACTAATGCACTATGAGATGCAACAGAACATATAGATCCACAATAAAACACTGAAAGAACAATTTGATGGACCCATAGAGGTTTAGATATGAAACATGGCCGGCCATATTCTTCAATATCTTCTTTGAACAACGGCAACAATTTAAACCCATAAATCAAGAAATACAGCGAGATAGCTGAATATTTTGCAGTTAGCAATAAATAACCACCATAATATCAACTAAAATCGCAAGCAACATGTGAAACAAGCACAGTTAAGGATATTCATGAAAGGGAAAGTATCACCACCTCATCCTCAGCTTCCTCTCCATCTTCAAAATCTTCATACTCTTCCACACCTTGCTCCTCCTCTCCCGTCTCCCCATCATCCTCATCTCCATCTTCCTCCCCCTGCTCATGAGCATCAATCTCCCCTTCTGTGCTCGTCAACCTCCCTGTACTCTCTGGTTCCCCAACATCACCCTCTTCATTATCCACTTCCTCCTCTTCATCGTCCTCGTCATCATCCTCATCTTCCACCCCATCTTCCTCATCATCGCTATCCTCAATCTCATGAACCTCCACCACATCCTCATCATCCCCCTCCTCTTCATCAATCTCCTCAACCGACTCATTCTCCTCCTCCTCCTCCCCCTCCTCCTCCTCATCCTCCTCTCTATCCGCCGCTGCCACATGAAACCCATTGGAATGATGATGCAATAACCTCCCACTTGATCCATTTATTCCTCCTGCATTTTCCATTTCTTCCACATCAGCATCGCTCTCTTCGTCCTCATCAACATCAACAATCCCTTCACTTTCCACTGTATGTCCGTTATTCAGTCTATACGGGCGATCCTCACCGTCAATTTCACCACTCCCCGGATCATCTTCATCGTCCTCCTCCTCATCATCTTCCTCATCATCCGACTCAGGCCTTTCATTTTCCTCAGCATCCATCTTATCCAAATACTTCAACGACTTAATTAAACCAAAAACCCTAGATCGATAATCCTTAACCCTCGTAACAGGACACTCATAAAGATCAAGCGACACGAGCTTGAGCTCCGCAAGCGGCCTGAGATCATTTATATCCTGAATCCTATTATTCGACAAATCGAGGTCCCGCAACGAGTCTAGATCGGCTTCAACAAGGGATTCGAGGCCACCGGCTATTCGATTGTCCGATAAAATCAGTCTTTGGAGGTTTTGAAGCCGAGGAAACTGCTCGAGGGAAGAAACACCAATGTTTGCAATAGACAGATGTTGAAGGTTGTGAAATTTCTCGAATAGCGACGGTGGAGGTAAGCGCCCGTGAACGCACTTCACCGCTCCGTCAAGGGTTAGGGTTCGCACCGAAGCAACGTCGGTCTGGCCGTCTAGTGCTGTCTCCACCGCTCTCTCCCAGATCTCATCCATTAATTACAGATTTTTCTTCAGCATAAACCACAAAAATCACACATATATCTATGATTTATCGACTTAAACGCAGAGATGAATACATATAGACAGAAACATAGAACAATGAAAAAGCTATAAGAGCTTGCCCTACCACCACAGAAGAGATTGATATACCAAACCCTGACTCTAACCCTAACCCTAATTTTCAGAGAAAAAGGCTTAAAACCCTTATTTTTCAGGTATATTCAACAAGTTGGAAGTGCTATGCACGAAGAAAACGAGAAAACCCTAAAATCTTCCCCCTTTCTCTCTCTAGTTTCTCTCTCAATGCCTTCTTCTCTCTTTGTAGAAAATTGGATAGGTGAGTCGAACCCGAGTCAGGGAGTAACTAGGGTTAGTGTTGCGGTTAGGTTAACCAGACCCTAGGGTTTGAGGGTGGGGTTTGTGTTTGTTCTGAGAGTGAATGTTGGCTGTTGGATTAAAAAAGGTTCGGATCGATGACGTGGAAGAATTGGCGGTGGATGTTTGAGAATGTTGTGCTAGTTTTGGAGAAGGACGTGAAGAGTGGAATGCGATGAGATGAGAGAGAGATAGAGGAAGGATCTCGCGCTCTTCAAGTCTGACACGTCATCTGTGTGGCGATATAAATATTGTGGCGATTAACTCGATGCCACTGGAATTTGTGGGTATTACGGGAATGCCACTATGTGTGGTGAGCAAGAAATCTGACCGTCTATTGGCTTGGCAATACGACTGGTCGATGCCCCTCCGCACGCGTATAGTCGCCTGTTTCAAGTTTTATCTTTATTGATAAAAAATAAATTATTATTATTTTTTGAAATAATTACATTAAAAGACTTCTTAAAATTTGTCACCTAATCACTCAAACATTCAAGTTTGAAGTATTACTCAAGTTTTGTTGTTATCCAGACCCTCTCTGTTTGTCCATTAGTACTAGCAAATGGAATTAATTCTTCTTAAGTTTGAGAATTCTCAAAAATTATAACTCAAGATCATCATCAATCAATCCTACTAAAATTTAGAATTGATTCAAATTTACGTAGAAATTAGGGGTTATTTAATCATGGGAATTAAACAAAAAATAAATAAATATAAGGGTCATTTGTTAAATTAAAAGAGTGATGGTCGCATGGAGCCCCACTAATCAAAAAAAATATGGCATTAAGAGTGATGGTCGAGTGAAACTCCACTAATTATGATTGGCTAAATTTTTTATCCTCTTTATTTTTATTAATTTTAATTTAATAGAACTAATAATTAAAAAATAAACACAAGTAAAAAAATGAGTAATAATTCCCAACTAGATTCGATTCATGATCCGATTCAATATTTTGCTTGTTCAGATTTGTCTATGTCATAATTTTAGAATTTGAACTAAGTTTGTCGTCGTATAAATTATATTGTTGATATTGATCTTAAAAAATAAACCGATGATATTAAAAAATGGCATCAGTCATAAATTAAATGTTATTTAGGTAATTGATTTGTAAAAGAGCCANGTGAGTCGAACCCGAGTCAGGGAGTAACTAGGGTTAGTGTTGCGGTTAGGTTAACCAGACCCTAGGGTTTGAGGGTGGGGTTTGTGTTTGTTCTGAGAGTGAATGTTGGCTGTTGGATTAAAAAAGGTTCGGATCGATGACGTGGAAGAATTGGCGGTGGATGTTTGAGAATGTTGTGCTAGTTTTGGAGAAGGACGTGAAGAGTGGAATGCGATGAGATGAGAGAGAGATAGAGGAAGGATCTCGCGCTCTTCAAGTCTGACACGTCATCTGTGTGGCGATATAAATATTGTGGCGATTAACTCGATGCCACTGGAATTTGTGGGTATTACGGGAATGCCACTATGTGTGGTGAGCAAGAAATCTGACCGTCTATTGGCTTGGCAATACGACTGGTCGATGCCCCTCCGCACGCGTATAGTCGCCTGTTTCAAGTTTTATCTTTATTGATAAAAAATAAATTATTATTATTTTTTGAAATAATTACATTAAAAGACTTCTTAAAATTTGTCACCTAATCACTCAAACATTCAAGTTTGAAGTATTACTCAAGTTTTGTTGTTATCCAGACCCTCTCTGTTTGTCCATTAGTACTAGCAAATGGAATTAATTCTTCTTAAGTTTGAGAATTCTCAAAAATTATAACTC